TAGGTATTTGTAGTTCAATTGTGTTATTTACTAATATTAATGTAATATTTATTTCAGTAGGAGTTTGTTCAGATAGATCAAGACCTCTGCTTTTAATGTATATGGACATAGACATTTAATATTTAAGTGCATTACCTTGGGGATTTAAAATTTTAAGTTATACTAATTCTGGATCGGGAGGGTACAAGAATGTGGAAAGATAATAAAAAAGGGTTAATAGAGGTAACATAGTAACAGCAAACTACCCATATTTAACAGCTTTAAGCATTCACTGACCCCAGCTCCCTGACGCAGTCAATCGACGTAACATACATCTGTGAGAAGGTTTACGGGAACTTTGTTCCCGAAGAAGAAGGACACAGGATTGTGGAGAGCGATTTAGAGAAGAAAAAAAAAAAAAAGAACAGAACTTCACATGCAGAGATTGGATAATTTGATGTAAAAGATTGAGTTGACACTTTGTTTTATGTTTTTGCAGAACACTGATATATTATACAAGTTACAATCATTGGACACTGTTTTACTTTCTATAGCTATGAGATTCACATAGTATTATTTATGCTATAACTGGTTCACATTTATGCTATAATTGGTTCACAAAGAATTCAACACTAATATCCAGGTTATTTATATATTTTTTTTGGTTACTGTTATTTAACTTTGCACACAGTAGCTTGTTTTTTGGGGGGTTTATAGCGCCGCTCAGACTGATTATTTAAAGTGACATTAAACCCTCAGATTTTTAACATAAAACAATACTGTAATGTGCGCCTTACTGTAATCCATGGTTGTTTTCCTTCTCTTTGCTACTCTTCCTTTTAAATCTGTATCTGTTCTCATGCTCTGCAAACTTCTGTTTTGCAGCAGACTGCCTTGTCTCAGGAATGGATATACGGTGTCTGTGTATTAGTTTATATAGGCTTGTAACCTGAGCCAGCACTACAGGAAGAGGCCCTGAGCATCAAAGGGAAGTTCTGCAGATCATGAGAAGACATGATGATTTAAAAGGAAGAGCAGCAAAGAGAAGGGAAACAACCATGGATTACAGTAAGGCACACATTACAGTATTGGTTTATGTTAAAAAATCTGAGGGTTTATGCAATACAATGGGTTACTGAAGGTTTATGTAACCAATTTAAGTGAGCAGCTGTGAAGAGAACACCCAAGAACTTTATATTATTTGAGAGCAGAAGATTTTGTGTTGAAATGAACTTATCATTTCCTGTAATCTTACATCTCTGTTCAAGTTTACTAACTTTGAGCAAAACCCTCTTAAATTGTGCTTTTGGTATTTATTTAAACACATTAGGATGGTAACTGTCAAAATTGAAGAATTGGTTACAATCTGTTGGGTTACTATACAAATAACTTCTTATTTTAACTCTCTATCTTCAATAGCATAAGGTGGAGCCACATTGGAACCCATTGCGGCTCCCCTGGTTTGTAAATAATACTCATTTCCAATCAAAAAATGATTATTCAGTAATGTAATGGTAAATAGTTTAACTATAAATTCAAATTGTACCCCAGAAAACATAATTTGACCGTTATAGCAATTGGCTTGTGGCTTTAACCCACACATCATGTTCAATTGATGTATACAAGCTAGACTTGATGTATACAAGCTAGAGACATCCTAGGTGACTAATATTGTGCCCCCTGGGAAGTGTAGCCCTAATATCTTAGACAAAAGATCCCTTCTATCTCTTAGATATGACTTGCTTTTCTTAATCAATGGGGTCCCAATTTTGTCATAGTATATTGCCAAAGGAGATAAAACAGATTCTATACTCGTCACAATCGATCAGCCAGGGGGACATTGGGAATCCCTATGCATCTGGAATGTGAAAATGATGAAGATGAAGGTCATCCTGATGTGCTTAACAGCAAGAGTATCCGATTACCTCTGGTGTTTAAAGATAAATGAGAGAAACTTGTTGTGCATGTTTGTATATCACTTTTTGGCCTTTTGCATCATGTCATGACAATTTTGAATTAACAAATAAAGAAGATTGAGTTATGCAATACAATGACTTTTGTATATATATATATATATTATTTTCAGCTCAAATGTTTTCCTTTTCATGAGAGTCTTTAAAGACTCTCATAAAAGGAAAACATTTTAAATGAAAATGATTTTACATTTCAACACCATAAAGGAAGGTCCCAATGTGGATTCTGTTTTCCTGATACACTACCGGAACTTTTAATGAATACACAGTACATCATAATGTCCTATGTATGTCTTATATCTCTGATGTATTAAGGTGTTTATTGGCCATCCTATGTTTATTTGTTCTGGCCTTTGGTTATCAGGATGCAATTTTCACTCCCCAAGTCCAACATTTATGACACCCCACCTAAGAACTCTTTCTTTAAGTGATTCATTCTGTCATGTTGATTAGTATTGCTTCTGACCTTTAGATGTGCTTTTCTTTTGAATATTATGTTAGTCCAATAAGAAAGGTACCATTGCATTCTACTCTGGTTTTTTTTTTACATCTTGTCTACTGGACTAATACGTCCCGTGAAAAAGTACACCCTCCTTAAATTGTATGGTTTTACATATCAGGACATAATTAAAAATCACCTGGTCATTAGCAAGTCTTAAAATCAGATAAATATAACCTCAGATGAACAAAAACACGTGATATATTACACAGTGTTATTATTTTACAAACAAAGCCAAACTGGAGAGGATATGTGTGAATAACTATGTACACCCTTACCTGCTTCCATAGGAATTAAGAGGCTAAGTAGCCAGTTGCTGCTAATCAAATGCTCTTGATTAATTGATCATCAGCAAGTCTGACCACATTTATAAAAGCTAAAGTTTTAGCAGTTTGCTGGTCTGGAGCTTTCATGTGTGTGTGTTAACACAATGCCAGGGAGGCAAGACATCAGCAATGATCTTAGAGAAGCAATTGTTGCTGTCCATCAATCTGAGAAGGGATACAAGGCCATTTGCAAACAATTTAACATCCATCATTCTACAGTGAGAAGATTATTCACAAGTGGAAAACATTCTAGACATTTGTCATTCTTCCCAGGAGTGGACATCTCAGCAAATTCACCCCAAGGTCAGATTGTGCAATGCTCAAAGATATTGCAAAAAACCCAAGAGTTACATCTCAGACTAAAGGCCTCAACATGTTAAGCGTAAAAGGTTCATAACAGTACAATTAGAAAAAGATTGAACATGTATGGTGTGTTTGGAGAAGTTGCCGGGAGAAAGCCTCTTCTCTCTAAAAAGAACATAGCAGCATGGCTTGGGTTTGAAAAAGTTGCATCTAAACAAACGACAAGACTTCTGGAACAATGTCCTTTGGACAGAGGAGACCAAAAGTGGAGATGTTTGGCCATAATGCACAGCACCACATTTAGCAAAAAACAAACAGCATATCAACACAAACACCTTAACTGTTAAGCATGCTGGTGGAGGGGTGATGATTTGGGCTTGTTTTGCAGCCACAGGACCTCGGCACCTTGCAGTCATTAAGTTGACCATGAATGCCTCTATGCCACAGCATTCTAAAGTCAAATGTGGGGCCATCTGTTCGACAGCTAAAGCTTGGCTGCAATTGAGTCATGCAATGACAATGATCCCAAGCACACCAGCAAATCTGGTGGGCAGAATGGCTGAAAAGGAAAAGAATAAAGGTGTTGTAATGGCCCAGTCAAAGTTCAGACCTCAACCCGATTGAAAATGCTGTGGCGGGACCTTAAGACAGCTGTGCATAAACAAATGCTCACAAACCTCAATGAACTGAGGCAATATTGCAAAGAAGAGTGGGCCTAAATTCCTCTACAATAGATGTAAGAGACTGGTAAAGTCATACAGAAAAAAGTTATTTAAAAGTTATTGCTGCTAAAGGTGGTTCTACAAGCTATAGAATCATAAGGCTTACTAGGTCTTTCACACATGGCCTTTCCATATTGACTTACATATTGTAATTTTTGTTTGCATTTTACATATTTATATAATTTTGATCTCATGTTTTATATATATTATCTTATTTCATGTGCTAAGATTAATTGTTACAGCTTGTCACAGATTGACATTATTTTGTGCATGATTCTTAAAAAGGAATTAAGTTATGATTTTATCATTTATCTTTGACCACTTTTTTGTGTATTTTATTTATATATTTTGTATCCGTTATGTAGTCTTGATGTTATCGCCCCCAAAAAGCATTTGGGTTTTTTTCTCCCTAGGACATTTTCACCCATTCGGTCAGGCACCCATTCAATACATGTTTACGCTGTAAAGCTTATAGGGTACCCTACCAAGGGAGACCTGCTATTCAGCTGGAGTCACCTTACCAGAGCCAGTGAGTTTGTTTGGAAAACTTTGGTGCACTTGGACTTATGAATGAGCATTGAGATTTCAGCGCCTCTTAAATATATGGGTCATATTGGTGTCTGGTCTGAGGAAGTGTGGGATACTGAAACACAGCCCCCTTTAAATTTGTTGAATATGATGCCAATAATTTCAAACAAATATTATTGGAGTGGATGGAGCAAAGCTACCCTGTTCTGAAAAAGTTCATGCCAAGTTCAAGGAGGCCTGAGAGTTCTACTGACCATTTGTATACACATGTATGCTAAAAACTGCAACTGCTACTTTTCCGTATTGGGGAAAAGAGAACCAGTATGGAGGGATACATACTATATCAACCAACCAGATCATCTTTCAGTCACCCAAATTGTTCAGTAAATATGAATTATTGCAACATTTACCTGAATGTATTTTTTGCCACTAAACAGAAACCTGCATGTAGACAGCAGTCAGAACTCCTGATCTGTATACTTGTTCTAGGTAAGTGATTAAGGAAACAGTGATGCCATTGCGTCAGTATGACAGCCAAACAAATAGTATTTTCAAAAGGAAATGTAAACAGTGGCATATAACCCCATATATTGTTCAGTGCAGGTTATCATTTTCTCAGAGTGCGCCTTTTAACTGTGGAATTTATCACATTTCGGCCCTTAGTGCTCACCTCCTATGTTTGCTTGTATTTACTAGTGGTTGTTCTGTGCCAGTGTCAATAATGGCCCGTTTCAAAGTTGCCTCTTTTTCACTTCGTAACTGCAAATAGCAAAAGAGCACAACACTTTGTAAACAATAAAGATAAATCAATGGAATATGAAACAAATATATACAAAAGATACTCTGTCTTCTATCTAGTCTATACAATCAACCTGCATCCAATCAGGCAAGCCCTTACACTACATAGTTGTTGGTAGATCTAAGAGAATGTACAATCCATTTGTAACATGTGTGGGGAGCTTTAAGTCTTTTTATTACGACAGACAGAATTTGCAGTTACTGAAATTGAGAGAAGAGCATGCAAAAGGCCTGCAAACCGAGACATCTAAAAAGGAAGAATATTTTTAAATTATTGTTAGATATGCTGTGTGAATAGGATCACAAACATTTAATGGGGGTTCTCACACTTTACTGTAAAAGGTGGAAAAACACTTTTAAAACGTTTATCAATGTAAATGGCTTCCAAGTGTAGTGTTATTCACATGAGTTATTTCCTCCGAAACGCCGTTAAGTTTATGTGGTCAGATCACATGCTAACTCTGCTTAGGTGCTCTTAAAAATGGTTAAATGTTTTGGGGAAAGAAAAATTGAATAGATTCAAATTACTTACATCTTCTTGCTTCTTCTGCAGCTCTTCTAAAAGACTAACAATCTCTTCATCAGTCACATCGCAAGGCCTCTGACCCTGAAAGCACAGCATTCATAAGAACAATGCACATCTTGCTGCAAACACATTGTATACGCAACAAACAATATTATACAAGGAGATCCAGCAAAATTAAAACAGCTGCCTGTAGATGGCTATGCTTGTCATTTTCTTTCATCGCCCGACATGCTTAACTGTAAATATTAGACCACAGAATAGGATTAGACAATTTTTTACTGATAGCTAACACAGCACAGATTTATCCATTAAGCAGGTTAAAAGCAACCCTTTCATTAAAAATTGGAACACTACAACCTGGAAAGAAAAGAGGGGAAACAAAAAGCCACAGGCGAGATCCTTATGGTGAAGTGGTGTTTGAAAAGCAAGAAAACCATTCATACAGTAGAAATCAGAAAAAAAGATACAGAATGTAGGTTGCCGAGTCGCTTGTGAAGGGATCAAAGTGAAAAAATATAGCCGTCTTTATGCAGTAAGATCACACTTTATGCTGGTTGGGGTGATTCGTACAGTCCTGTCTACAAGGGTCTAAGGCTGTCAGTAGTGTATGTATGCCCAAAAAAGTTGGAAAAGGTCGTAGCAGAGGTTCCTGTGTGCAAAAGGACATGCTAGGAAGCCATTCCTTCATAAACTGGATATTAAATCATGGAATATGTTAAGAAAAACAATCAATGCATTTCATGATGCTAAAATGGCAACTTTCTCAGGATTTTTTATGTACAAAATGGTATAGATGTCATATAAGGTTGTTGTTAAAAATGGAACATATTTGCTAAATCAAAATTGACAATACTATAGTAAAACAAATATCAAAGAGGTATCAAAGAGCTTAACTCTTAGAAGATACATAATTATAACAAATTAAATGATTCATGATATGAAAAACAGAAAAATTTACATAAAACTACACAAAAAGCTCAGTCGGGGGGCGTGGATGAACATGCAGGAGTAAAGAAGTGCCTGAACAAGCTCTGAAATCCTGACACCTTTTCTGTTTGACTTAACACACCGCCGTCGACTGTCTCACTTTCTGCCACACGGGAAACACCCTCCAGCAGTCACAGGCATTGACAGCGGTACAGACGCACTGCGCTAATCAATAATCATAATACGAGAATAATAAAGTGCAAAAGATATCAAATAAATCACATATGGTTATTTACATCTTGGCACTTTTTTGCATAATTTCATGGTGGACTTTATAATTATCAATTTGCACATAATCTCTACTGGAGATATTTAGAAGTATTTATGAACTATATTGGTTATATGTGATTTATTTGATATCTAGCACTTTATTATTCACGTATTATGATTATTGATTAGCGCGGTGCATCTATTTGATTTATTTATATAATTAGCACGGCAGCTTTTCATCTTTTATATTTGTTATTTATTACTTTGAGACAGCCTCCATAAAGCAGAATGTCTTTATATTCATCTATTCATTGGGTTTTATACCATAATTATTTCTGCAGCCATGGATATCTTTGAATTTTTTGAGAAACAGAGGTGAATTTGGAAGACATCTTCTGTATTGAGGTGTTAGATAGGGGTGATATCAAAAGCAAATTTTTAGACATTGAGACATGCTTTGGAAAAACAACTTATATTATGGTGGGATATAGTGACCCATGAGAGTATCTCAGAGAAGGATTAATGCCCAGCCACTTAATGCTGGCCTTGTAGACCCAGATTCTATGAAGGAATGGTATAATTTTTTTCAGCATTTAGAGGACCAATTATTGCAGTTATTGTTAACAGGGAAGCAAAGAAAATTGGAAATAGAAATTAACATTAAAATATTAAAGGATAAATTAGAGCCATATAGAGTCTGAACAGTATGCTGCCCTTTCAAAGGAGCTAGAAAATTTCTTACAGAAGTGGGATAAAGAACTCAAAGAAAATAAATCATAAAAATTGATTGGAAATGCGTTAGATCTAAAAAAAATTAAAATATTCAAATGGCAACTCAATGAGATTGATAGCAGTAGCTGTAATACAAGTATAGAGGGGAAACATAAGAGCATACAGTTAAAACCAATGAAGATTTGGGGGATTTGCACTGGAAACCCATTCGCAAGAAGAGGAAAAGAGAAGTACCCAATGAATCTACCCACAATAGGGTTTGTATGAAGATAAATTTAATCTCCCAGATATACCATCCTCTACTTGATGAAGGGGCTAGTAGTAAATCAGGGAAATTATACCAATAATCAAAGTTTTTTAGAAAATATCAAGAGATCATCATCCAGTCCATTACGGGATGGGAAGGGGGATGAAAGGTCCCAGGGAGATGTGGAAAGACAGACAGAACAACACTTGGGCACCAAACAGAGCAAGACACAAAGTGTGGTCTCAGGAAAGAGGTAGAGGCAGAGACCCCCCATTGCCACAAAGAGAAAGGTACAGAACAAACAGAGGGGAGCCTGTAGAGGAGGGAGACCGGTCCGTTACAATGTAGGAAGAGGAAAGAGGTGGTAGGAACTGGCATATTTAACATCACTTCAGTAGCAGTGACTGCTGATGAGGAGAGTATTGGATTTAGGACTTAATTTTCCACTGTTAAAAATCTTACATTTCAGACTTACATTGATCTTAATAAATTCATATGTAAATTGAATATTAAGAGATATTATTCATCTCTCCCTGGACCCAATACTAGAGCAAAAGAGAGTGGGGTTGTTGAGAGGTTTCACCATACTACACTGAGGACTAATTCTACATTTGACCCCCAAACCAGTTCTAATAATTTTGTTGAGATGTTTAAAAACCTAGGTGAGACAGATTTGAAACAACTACAATTCAAACCTAAACAGGATTTGGAATATATTCAGAAAGGAATTGCCTCTTTAGAAGAAAATAAAAATCTTGTCATACGCCCCGCGGATAAAGGTGGAGGGGTTGTAGTTATGGACAGGGATTACTATGAGAAAGAGATGGCCAATATCTTGTCAGATCGGCATACATATATAAGATTACCTGGAGACTCTACTTTAGAATATTAAAAAATTACTAAGGAAATTGGTGAAAAATGGATATAAGAAAGGGATACTTTGTAAGAAGGAATGGGAATATTTAGTACCATCCTGTTGTAAAATTCCCATAATCTATTTCCTACCATAGATACATAAAAACGAAAAAAACACCTCTGGGTAGACCTATTATAAATGGGTAGTAATATTCATACAGAGGAGGTATGCATATAGGAGAAGTACCGCATCCTGATAATGTCATAAAAAAGAAAAAAGGAGGATTTGGATTTTTAAAAGGTACTTCAAGGATCACACAAAACACATTTGATTTTTATATAAAGTATAACAATTTTTATTTATAAATATATTTAAAATGCATAGTTTTAAAAAAAGAAAGGCAAACAAGATTGCCTAGAAGAGACCATAGGATGTAGCCGCATCCTCCCACAATTTTTTCTATATTACGATACTTGTTACAAATTGCTGGATATCAGCTTCCTAGTTTCATTTGTAATCCCGTGGGAGGAGAACAGATTTCAATGCGTTTCACGGAGATCCGCTTCTTCAGGAAAAAGGGCTACTGTCTTTCTACAAGAGAATATTTTTTATTTACAAAGAGTTCATAGTTTACCTATGCAAATGCATTAGAATACTTAGTGCAGTTTGTTTAGTTCAATAAACTTACAATAGTCTGTAAAGATGGCTGGATCCACCACTGACCAACACTCAAATCATGGGCGCGGACGGAGGGACCAATAGAAATGGGGTAGAGCGTGAGACAACCCCCAAGTCAGAGCAGGAAACTACAGAGTGAGAGAGGTTTCAGAAGAGGCCAGATTTTCTATTAGATGACAACATCCCAGAAATTCCTATTATTATTGAATAGATCACACCTAGGCGTAATCTATTCAATAATAATAAGAATTTCTGAGATGTCAAAATCAAATGTGTTGTGTGATCCTTGAAGTACCTTAAAAGTCAAAATCCTCCTTTTTTTCTTTTTTATGACTATTATAAATGGGATTGATTCAGTATTATCCAGAATAGGACAATACATCAACTAATTTTTACAGCCCATCTTGAAGCTTATTTGACAGATAGTAATAAACTGTAAATCCGTTTTGACATTTTCTGCCATAACATTTTTGCTATCGACGTAGTATCCCTATATACCAATATTCCTCATTAGGAGGGCTATTTTAAAATGACAACAGGTTATGTTTTTATTAGAGTGTGTAAGATTTGCCCTTACTAAAAACTATTTTTGGTATAAAGGGAACTTTTATCAACAGATTAAGGGAGTGGCCATGGAAGCTAAATTCGCCCCAGTCTGGCCAATCTTTTTATGGCTAAGACGTCATTTTTACTACCCAACAGGAAAGGCTCACCCTTTGGAAAAGGTACATAGACAATATTTTTCTCATTTGGGATGGTTCTGACAGTATATTATCCAATTTCTTAGCGAATATTGTGGATAACCGTTACGGTATAGGTTTTACTATTAATAAAGGGGGCAAACAGGTACAGTTTTCAGATTTATTTTTATAGAAGGTAATGCTATTTGCACAAAAACCTTTTAGAGTACCGACAGAAATGGTTACATACCGACCCATAGTTGTCACCATCCCAGATGGGTCAATAATATTCCAATGGGTAAGCTGGTGCGCATTAGATTAGCTGACCTGAATTTGTTCTCTCTGGAGAAGAGGCGATTAAAGGGGAACATGATCACCATGTATAAATACATAAATGGTCCATATAAAGAACTTGTTGCCAAATAATTCACGTTAAGGTCACTGCAAAGGACAAGAGGGCACTCTTTGCGTCTGGAGGAAAAGAGGTTTAACCTTTGCATACGGAAAGGATTCTTCACAGTTAGAGCTGTGATAATGTGGAATAGACTCCCCCAGGAGCTTGTTCTAGCTAGCTCGGTTAATTGTTTTAAAAAAACATCTAGATGTATTCCTAAATGCACAGAATATTACTGGATATTGAGTTCTTAGGTATATTAAAAGGTATACCTATAGGTATATTAAGCATCAGAGA